CGTCTCAAAGCGGTAATTCTGGGTGGGGGGAGACACTTTCCCGGACTCCAACTTACTGAAAAATATTTATTGCCTTTCTCTCTCGCTCTCTCTCGCTCTCCCTCCCTCCTCTCTCTTTCTCCCTCTCTTCCTCCCTCCCTCTCTCTTCCCCTCTCTCTGTCTCTTGCTGTCTCTCTCCCTCCTCCTTCCTCCCTCCCTCCCTCTCTCTTCCTCCCCCTTCTCTCTCTCTCTCTCTCTCTCTTTCTTTCTTTCTTTCTTTCTTTCTTTCTTTCTTTCTTTCTTTCTTTCTTTCTTTCTTTCTTTCTTTCTTTCTTTCACAGGGTTGGAGACCTTTTGTCCAGTTATCAGCTCTGCCACGTCTTTCTGGAGGACCTCATCTCAGTTCAGAAAGCAGAAATCTTCAGAAGGATGTGAGTAGAACCTGAATGGTTGTTTGGCTTGGAAAGAGTATATGAAGGGCTCTGAGTAAGAGGAATATTTGTAGCTCAGGGTTGAAATGAGGGGTCCTTGGTGCTCTCTGAGCTTGGTGGTTTTCTTGCAGACGTTTCATTACCCAACTAGGCAACATCATCAGTGCACTTTGTATTGTGAAATGATGAAAGGATGATGAAACCTCTGCAGGAAAAACACCAAGCTCAGAAAAGCACCAAGGATCCCTCATACAAGGGACTCTATGTCCCCAAATTTTGAACTGTGGCCCCATCTTCAACAGACTAGACCTGTGATGGCGAACCTATGGCACTCATGCCACAGGTGGCACACAGAGCTATTTGTGTGGGTACACGAGTCCCAGCCAAACTTGCATGCGTGTGCCTTCCAGCTGATTTTAGGCCCGTTTGAGGCTGCTTTTGCCCTCCCGAAGGCTTGAGGGAAGCCTCTAGAGCCATGGGAGGCCGAAAAACGGGCCTTCCGGAAATACCAGAAGTGCCAAAACAGGCCCGTTTTCAGTCTCTTGAGGCTGTAGGAGGGTGAAAATGGCCTCCCCGGACTCCAGAGGCCCTCTAGAGGCTGAAAACGGGCACTTCCGGTATTTAGCCATCCGGGAGGGCTAAAAATGGCCTCAAAAGGCTGAAAATTAGCTGGGAGGTGCGTGCATGCGCAGTGCAGGTAAGGGGTGAGGCGGGGGTGTTGCACGCACATGCACAGGGGGGGCAGGGCGCATTGCATTGTGGTTTCTAGCACGCACACGCTTTTGGCACACTACAACAAAACAGTTCGCCATCCCTGCACTATACCCTTGCCGTCCATATGTGATTCGTGGTGTATTTGTCCGTGGCTAGCTCAATCCTTGGATTTATATCAGTGCCTACAACTGCACTTCAGCTAGGTTTCTCCAACCATCTTTTTATAAGTACAAAGGGAAGCGTGGACCATCTGATATTTTGTTAAAGAAACAATGTTGGGTAATGTTTGGGTGCATGCTCTAGTTTCAAGACGTCGCAGCCGGTGTGCCCTCTCTTCCAAATAGTTGAGATGAGACAATCTGTGTCCCATTGGGTGACCATGTCAGAGATGTTTCCTTACTTAAACAGGGAAACAGAATGACCACAGGCGGGTGGGGGGGGGAAAAAGCAGCGGGAGCAGGAGAGACTTCCTGCTGGCTTTCTCACTGAGTTTCCTTTTGGGAATCTGGCTGGGAACATCAGAAACCTCCCGTTCTTCCCTTCCCTTCATTCCCATCAGGCAGGCAAGTGGCTGCTTCTGGGTAAGAGAGGGAGCAAGGGATTGTGAGACTGGCTTGGAAACTGTCATGGAACATTGAAATGAAGAACAGCAGCGCAGGAGCAGCCAATACCACTAAAGAAACCAAAATTGCCCCAAATTTCTTTCCTTCTGGAGTCACGGTTCCCAGATTTCATAGAATAACAGAGTTGGAAGGGACCTTGGAGGTCATCTAGTCCAACCCTCTGCTCGATCTGGAGAGTCTATTCCAAATATTAGCCTCTGCCTAGGATCAAACTCACAGTCTCCTGATTGTGAGGTGAGAGCTCCACCTCTAGGCTTAGCCCATTTAAGGTAGTTTGGTTCAAAAAGTGTTGCCCTGTGATATACTCTTGCCCAGTTAAAGGTCATGGCAGCAAGTTTTAATAGTATATAAATTTATGTAGTTTAGGGCCATGAATTGGCAATCAGTAATAGGTTTTGAGAGAGTCTGAAATAGTAGATACACTTAACTGTGAAAAATGGCTTCAGTCAAGATATATCTGAATAATCAAGTGTAGGGTTAAATATTCCCAATTTTTTCTACGCAATACAGCTACTTGAAATGGTCTGGAAACTTATTCATTAAACTATTTGATTCCTTTCTAAGTAATATGGCAATTTAGGATGTATTCTTTGAGATTTTCCAAAGCGAAGAATGCTTTTCCTTTTTTCTAGTGGGGCATTATGTTCTCAATTTCATCTTGCATCTTAATACACGATATTTGAAAGAAATAAAGATTTTATTATAAGCTGCACATTTAGGAGGGAAGGAAAGTGATGAACATTAGTTCATCTAGTGTGGCATCGTCTACTCTACACCACCTCCTGGGTTTTAACACAAATCTTTTTTGGCTTTAGCTGGAGATGACAAGGAAAGAGACTGGATTTTCTTGCTACAAAATTTGGGCTTTGCCATTAACTTTTCATCAATCGATAGTGTTTCAGGTCATCTAACCATCACTTTCTAGATTCCAGGGGTACCCTTTCCATTATTAAAAAAATATATTAATATATAAATAAAAAGAAAGAGCAACATGTTCAAAATCCATATATACAGTGTGTTGCCTGGTTACTGGTTCGTCATAATCATAATAATAGTCTTCTCTAATGATAATTTTGTGATAACAGTGCTTTTCCCTCATAACATTGATACATATTGTTTAGTAAAACCAATCAAAATTAATCACAATTAATAAATTTCAATAAACAACCCTGATCGTGAGATTAATATTTCTCTTGTAATCTTCAAATTTCTAACTCTTGTTTCTCTTATTTAACCAATGATAGAACAGACCCCATACCTCAAAATATTCAGTGCCTTCTTTAATTTCAAATGTTAATTTTTTTCATTTCTGCACCATTTAATACTGCACCAGTTGCCTTTTCGCTGAGATGTGAACGTCACCAGTTCATTTACTTAGCCATGTAGCCTAATCCTTTTTAACCAGGATTGCCCCCTTCTGGTTATCTCATTATATTGTCTTCAATAGAAATAAATTAAACACTAGACACAATGCAGAATGTAAGGCAGGAGATGATACCTAGGGGAACTTCTAGTTAAATAGTTGAATTCATTTATTTGGCAGATATGCAAATCAGGAAAAGTACTAACCCTTTAATGCTTGCTATTCCTCTACTGTCTTGACAAGCAGCCTTGATGGAAACTCTTCATGGGCTTTAGAACTTCTTTAGATTATCTTTGGATGATGTTCTGAGCTCATTTCATCTCCAGTAATGGACAAGTGATGTTACTGGTACTGTTTTTTTTTCTTTTTTAAATAAACTTTATTAGTCTTTTGTAGATTTTAAAAATAAAACAAAAAATAAATATCGTGACGTTAACAGTTTTGTCCATATCTATTTTTGTGCATATTTACAAATATATACAATTTTGTGTGAATATATGCATTTAATCTATAAGTTGCTTGTCTTTAATTTCTTCATTTTCTATCTGTCTTAATTCGATCCAATTATAGCATTTTCCCCAAATTCTATAGTATTCAGACTCCTCTTTCTCTTGTACCATTAAAGTCAATTTGTCCATTTCAGCACATTATTATTTTTTGAATAATCAGTTCATCCAATGGTATACAGTTGTGCTTCCAGCATTGAGCGAAAGCTATTCTAGCAGCCTTTAAGATGTGTAATACAATATATTTTATATTTTTTCCACATTTCTTTTTGAATATCCCTAACAGAAATAGTTTTGGGTCCAATTCTACTTGTTCCTTAAGAATTTTTTGCAGCCATTGTTTAATTTTAAGCCAATATTTCTGAGCTTCTGAACAGAACCACCACATTTCTTTCTATCTTCTGGGGTTTTTTTTTCTTCTTACAGACAATCCTTGACATATAACCATAATGGAGTCTGCCCACTATGGTTGTATATGGTAATGGCCGTAAATTGGGTCAGTCATGTGACAGTCCAATTTTTTATGACCTTTTTTTTGTAGCAGTTGCGAAGTAAGCAATGTGGACGTTAAGTGAATGCCACAGTTACTAAGCAAACCCATTGTTCACTGGGTGGCACAGTTTTGCTAAAAACCAGAAGTAACTAAAACTGTCATAAAACACAATCATGTGTCTGTGGGTTACTGCAAACTGCTGGAAATATGGTTAGATTGTCAAGTGCCTGAAGAATTCCATCAGAACTTCTGGGTCATAATTCCCTTTTTTCCAAGTAGATTGTAACTTCCAATGATTGCTAAGCCACTGGTCACAATTCACGGATAAACCTGTATTCTGCATCTTCCCTGGCTGCCTTGATAATTTACCTTGGGACTGCCGCATGAAGAGCCAGGGAGGCTGCAGATAACCGGGGAAAGTCAGACAATTGCATGAATCCATCAGCCACCTTGTCACCAAGGTAAGGTCAGGAACACATATCACAAGAGTTTCACTGATTTTTTTTTTTGTCTACTTGGAACATAAAAACCCTCCCTTTTTACAACCCTATAGTCCCTATTCCAGATAGAGTTGGGATGACTGGTTAGAGCTGAGCATTTACTGGCTGGATGCTCTTCCTGACGTCATATGGAGTTTGCACCGGGTTTTTTTTCTTTGCACCCTAGAAGAGAAACATATTTGAACTTTGAACATAATATCAAGGACTAATTCTCCTTCATTAAGAAATTTTTGGAATATCACTTTTTTTGTACATGACTGTCCACAAAATAAACCAGATCCACATGTGAATAGCAATAGCATTTAGACTTATATATTGCTTCAAAGTGCTTTACAGCCCTCTCTAAAAAATGTTTACAGAATCAGCATATTGCCGCCAACAAGCTGGGCCCTCATTTTACCAACCTCGGAAGGATGGAAGGCTGAGTCAACCTTGAGCTGTTCAGGATCAAACCTCTGGCAGTGAGTTGGCCTGCAATACTGCATTCTAACCACTGCATCACCATGAAGGTTCAATTAAACTGAATCGATCTTCTCAACTAACGGTTAGCACCTTCTTGGAATTAAATAAGGGTCAACAGCACTCAAGTAGGGTTGGGCCAGTGGTGGGATTCAATTTTTTTTTTACTACCGGTTCTGTGGGCGTGGCTTGGTGGGCATGGATTGGCTTGGTGGGCGTGGCTTGGTGGGTGTGGTACGGGAAGGCTACTGCAAAATCCCCATTCCCTCCCTACCCCATTTTCCAGCTCCGTTCTCCTGTGCAGGGCAACCAAAGAAGACCCAGCCAATCAGCTGGGATTTGGGAGGCAGAGAATAGATGGGGGCATGGCCAGTCAGGGGGGGTATTTGCCAGTTCTCCAAACTACTCAAAATTTCCACTACCACTTCTCCAGAACTGGTCAGAACCTACTGAATACCACCTCTGGGTTGGACTTAATTCACTTGTGGCTACATAAGGATTCTAGGGTAATCTCTCTTTTCACGCCTCCCCCAGGTTCTGCCATTCCTTCTCCCAATGATTTAAGAAGAAGTCAGTTTTTTGACCTTCTCGTTTGGTAGCATCTTTACATTCTGAGTTTCTTATATCTTCTCTTCTCCCCCCCCCCCCCCTTTTTTTTTTTTTTTTGGCTCTCTAGGAGTTGAGTGCGATTCCATGGCTTCTTCTGAAAACACAATGAAAAACATGTCATGCAATGATACCATTGATGAGTTTCGGAGTCAGGTGTACCCCGTGACATACTCCATCATCTCAATCCTGGGGTTTGTGGGAAATGGCTTCGTGTTGTGTGTCCTCATAAGGACATGCCAGGAGAAGACAGCTTTCCAGATATACATGTTCAACCTTGCCATTGCAGACCTTCTCTTTGTATGTACTCTGCCCCTGCGAGTGGTCTATTACCACTACAAAGGCAACTGGTTCTTTGGTGACTTTTTGTGCCGGATCAGCTCCTACGCCATGTATGTCAACTTGTACTGTAGCATCCTGTTCATGACAGCGATGAGCTTCTTCCGTTGCATTGCCATTGTTTTCCCCATCTGGAATATCCAATTTATCTCCCGGAAGAGAGCCATCATGGTCTGCGTTGCCATTTGGTTCTTCGTAACCCTGACTACCACCCCGTTTTTGCAGAAAAATGGCCAGTTATCTGATGAAAATATAACCAAATGCTTTGAGCCGCCAAAGAACACGGATGTGAAGAAGCTGATGGTTCTCCACTACATTGCATTGTTCATCGGTTTTATCTTTCCTTTCACCACCATCACCATCTGTTACGCCATGATCCTAAACAAGCTCCTGAAGAATCCCATGCATAAGAAAGAAGGCACTCGTAGAAAGGCCATCTGGATGATTGTGATTGTGACCGTCGTCTTTCTCGTGAGCTTCACCCCGTATCATGTCCAGCGTACGGTTCACCTCCACTTGATGAAAGACAAGACTTCCTGTGAGAAGAGCCTCTACATGCAGAAATCCGTGGTGATAACCTACTCCCTTGCGGCCTTCAACTGTTGCTTCAACCCACTTCTTTATTACTTTTCTGGAGGTAATTTCCGTAGGCGACTTTCCACTTTCCAAAGGGGCTCTATTTCCAGTTCTCATCACCGAAAGATGTCCTCAAAGATGGAGGAAGCCATGAATGGAAACGGGGTGGAACACAAAACATACATTTTGGAAGCGACAGGAACTCCCTCCAAACAGAGGCCAATCTGAGATGCCGATTATTGTGCATCAGTGGCTTACATCTAGTTTTTCAACATGGTGCCCAGAGAAGCAAGTTTGTATATATATATATAGACATTCGCTTGGCCACAACCAGATTCCCTGCTTCAACTGTGATTCCAAATAAGCCTCTGGAACCTGAATGAAACTTAAAAGCTATTTTAAGACATAAAAACGATGATGAAATCAATCCAATGCTTTGCTTGGACCTGCGCCCGTTTGCTCAGAAAAAGGCAGTGATAAGCAGGGGAATAAGCCAAGAGAAGGGACTAAATAGCAGGTAGATTTGAAGCTGATGCCTTGTAATAGCCAGTTTGGTCTAGTGGTTAAGGCACCAGGCTAGAAAGTGGGAGGTCATGAGTTCAAATCCCATCTCGGCTATGAAAGTCAGCTGGGCCAATGGACATGTCAGCTGTGTTGGACATGTTCGCATCTTGAGTTATTTGTAAAAATAATAAAGGTAATATATCATATAAAGAACTGATTATATCTCCTAATAGCTACTTTGCAAAGAGACAATTTTCCCCACCAAAAGACATTCTGCAATCAGATTTTCAAGATACCAAAAGGATCCAATGACTTCCCCCAACCTTGGGGATTTCTACTCCAAACCAGACAAGTTGATTTCATAATAGCTCTTTGCTTTGTCCAAGACTGTTTGTGCTTGAACACCTCTCTACATGCCAAGCTTACAAAAAAACAAATCTCTTCAGTCATTCTACCCAAACATAGAAGAGCAAGTTGGATATATTTGGTTGTATTAGTATGGCTTTATAAATCCTAAGTAAGGCCACACCTGAAACATCGCATCCAGTTTTGGTCGTCACATTGTAAAAAAGAGATTGAGACTTTGGAACAAGTGCAGGGAAGAGCAGCTAAGGTGCTTTAGCCTGGAGACTAAAGCAGGAATTTGGATATGTCTAGTCTAGAGAAAAGAAAAACTAGGGATGACATGATAGCAATAGTCCAGTATTTGAGGGGCTGCCCCAAAGAAGGGGGGGAGCAACTTATTTTCCAAAGCACCTGAAAGCAGGACAAGAAACAATGGATGGAAACTAATCAAAGAGAGAACCAATCTGGAATTAAGGAGAAACTTCCTAAGAGTGAGAACAATTGACCAGTGGAATGGCTTGTCTTCTGAAGTTTTGCTTCATCACTGGGGATTTTTAAGAAGAAACTGGACAGCCACTTGTCTTAGATGGTATAGGGTCTCCTGCTTAAGCAGGGGGCTGGACTAGAAGACCTCCAAGGCCCCTTCCAGCTCCAGTCAGAATTGAATTGATGTTTGATGTGATGTTATGGCCACCTACCCTTGTTGTGATATTTTCAACTCCAAAAGTACCTGACTATTCCCTGATATATGAATTGCAGAGATGAACTATATGGGGGGGAAGCCATATTTTCCTAGCCTGGGAATCTTCTGATGAGTTGGACTTTTGTAAGTTCTGGAATCCTTTTTCCTGGTTAGAGATTCTAGTCATTTTTGGTATAATATGTCGGGGAGAATGCTGAATAGGGAAAAAACTAAGGTTAATCAAGGCTCCACACTGATACCGTAGTTAAAAGAAAATGAAGTGGGTTTTTTTTCCCCCCTTTTTTTGTAAAGAGCTGTTGAATGGGGAATATTTGGCTGAGTCATCTTGAGAACATCCTCTTTAGATAAATGGGTCACATTTTTTCTTTTATCCTAAATGCAAGCTTTTCTTTTTTTTTGATGTGGAAAAGGAAACTGAGCTTCTTATTTTAAACTGGGAGATGCAATTTGCTATTAAAGGAAGAGGCAATTATGGCAGAGAGCTAAAAATATAAAACCCCCCCCAAAAAAAAAAAAGGAGATGTGGGACAGGGAGATTTTGGAGAAAGAAGGAGAATCTATTATGAAATGCTGTCTTTTATTTTAGTCTTCAGGTAAAAACCGAAACAAAACTGTTGTTCAACTTTCAGGAAGAGTAGAAAAGAGGAAAATGTATTTTTTTAAAAAACGATGTAATAGTAAATGAATGTTAAATTTTGGAAGGCAATCTAATTCCAGTTTTAAGGACTAAACAGGTGGGAAGAGTAAATCAATTTCAGGAGAGGGGAGGAATATTTTTTGATGGGAAACTTGAGGTTTCTAATACAGGTAGTGACCAGTGATGGGATTCAAAAAAAATTTTTACTACCAGTTTTGTGGGTGTGGCTTAGTGGGCGTGGCTTGGTGGGCGTAGCAGGGGAAGGATACTGCAAAATCCCCATTCCCTCCCTACCCCACTAACCTGCTTTCCAGCTCCATTCTCCTGTGCAGGGCAACCAAAGGAGACCCAGCTGATCAGCTGGGACTCGATGGGAGGCAGAGAATAGATTGGGGGGGAAGCAGTCAGAGGTGATATTTGCCAGTTCTCTGAACAACTCAAAATTTCTGCTACCGGTTCTCCAGAACCAGTCAGAACCTGCTGAATACCACCTCTGAGGTAGCCCTTGACTTATAACAGTTATAACAGTTCCATTTAGTGACTGTTCAAATTTACAACAGCACTGAAAAAAGGGACTTCTGACCATTTTTCACACTTATGACCGTTGCAACATCCCCAGGGTCATGTGATCATGATTCAGAAGCTTGGCAACTGATTCATATTTATGACGGTTGCTGCGTCCTTGGGTCATGTGATCTCGTTTTGCGACCTTCTGATGAGCGAAGTCAATGGGGAAGCCAGATTCACTTAGTAACCATGATACTAACTTAACAGCTGAGTGATTTACTTAACCATTGTGGCAAGAAAGGTCGTAAATACGGGCAAAATTTGCTTCACAAATGTTTCGCTTAGCAACAGAAAGGTTGGGCTCAATTGTGGTCATAAGTCAAGGACTGCCTGTATTGGCAAGCCACATCTAGCTAACATGGGCCATGATTTATAGCAACAATAATTGTAGTCCAATAAAGAGAATGGTAAGAAGAATGGGCCTCTCTTCTTCCATGCAGAAATAACTGTGTATTGGAGAAATGGAATAATGGGCCTACATCCCATTTCCTATCCACTTCCTCCCACCCAAGATATATTATTATATATATTATATATTATTTTCAGTTGGGAAGGAGATGTGTGAAAGCAAAATATCCATAGAGATAGAGTGCCTAGAGAGGCCCCATGTCTCTCTAGGATCCCTGTCTTGCTAGAGTTAAGGGTTAGTTAATTCTGCAGTCAACAGTTTTAGCGACTTGAATGACCAGCAGGAGTGTATGTCATCCTAGGCAAAATTCTAATCCAGGGGTCCCCAAACTTGGCAACTTTAAGACATGTGGATTCAACTTCAAGTCCACAAGTCTTAAAGTTACCAAATTTGGAGACCTCTGCTCTAATCCCTGGAATTAGTTGGCTAATTCAACTCAGGTAAACGTAATGTAAACTCAACCTTCACATTACCATCACAAAAGAGATAATGGCTCTCATAAGGTTATTAAATCCCACATGCAACATCACAAAACTGTTCCATTGGGCCACATATATATTCAGTAGCATTGGGTTGGCAAGTTGCCATGGTGACTCAGTCAAAGCTGGGATGTCCTTCTGGGAACTGGATATGATTTAAAATCCTGGTCACACAAATGTAAGCCTACAGCCAACTCAGTGACAAAATGAGCTTTGGGGAAGGTGTCATGATTTTTTGCAACTGTTTTTGGCCAGGAAGAGCTCGGAGACTACAAGTGGGGCCACAGTGGATGAACCTTAAAAAATAACCAGCCTTTTTTCTCTCCCCCCGACCCCCTTCATCCAAACTCCAATCATGTCGGCTGTGCAAAGCCGTAACCCCTGCAGCTTCCCACAATCGAGGTTTCTGGTTCTTCAGCCGCTACAGGACCGACCTCTTTTCAAGATCCCAAGAACTGTGGCCTGGAGTGGAGGAGGGAAATGGGGTGGGAGAGATAAACAGAGGCTGAAATAAATCTGAGCAGTGGGAAAGCACACACGGTCGCATTCCTTCAAAGGGGACAGTGGCTCAGCATCAGAAAATGTAGCCTGCTGAGGAACTAATGTCAACAGCCTTCGAGTCAGCCCTCGGCAAGAAGGCCTTTGGGCAAACTTTCAAGGCCTTTTTAATGGCCCTGCTAGTGGGAAACGCAAACATTTGCCAGGGTGGGAATTGGCAGAGCTTCTGCAAACGAGAGAAGTAGCCAAGAGAGAGGGGCGGGTGTGGAGAGAAGCTTCAAAGAGCATGGGTTTTGGAGTTGCACGGAAGCTAATAAAACATAGTCAACCCTTGTTTCCAATGCTGTGCGAAGTTGTACGAGCTAAGTCATTATTTTGTGATGCCCTGTGGAGATCTAAGCTGTGCTCAGCTCCTTGTTTGAGTTTGTCAGCCAAATGCTTTGCATCCTTCTTTCCAAGAAAACTGAGTAGTTTAGCCCAACAGAAGAGAAGTTTCACACGTTATCTACCAAAAGGGATTCTCCTTCCCTAATTGTCCATGTGGTTGCAAACAATGTTGCATTATAAACACAATGTACTTTGTTGAATGTAAAATGTAAGTACCCATGTGCGATACCAATTTTTGTTGTTGTGATGTTGGCTGGATATATGTAGCATTTATTTCCTTCCTTCCTTCTCTCCTTCTTTCCTTTCCTTTTCCCTTCCTTCCCTCCCTTCCTCCTTTCTTCTTTCCTTTCCTTTTCTCTCCCTCCCTCCTTCCCTTCCTTCCTTCCTTCCTTCACTCCCTCCCTCCTTTCTTTTTTCTTTCCTTTTCCTTCCCTTCTATTTCCTTCCCTCCTTGCTCCCCCTCCCTCCATATAATGAATGCAAACTATAAACATGTTGATGATGCCATGTGTGGGGCTTGTTTGTTTTTTAAATTGTTCTTGCCATGTTATGAAATTGCTGCTCGCTGTTGAATGCTGCCTAGGGCAGACAATGCATCTGGAGACCCACAATACCCCATTGTGATAGACACACATTGCCGAGTTGTTCACATGAGCTGGGTATCATTGTCCAGCTTCCCCATCCAGCATAGCCATTGACTATGAGGAGTGGCAAGGAAAGTACCTGGGTGTTAATATATCCAAGGAGCAGCTGGTTGGAGAAGCTGGCTGTGCAGTCATCTATTTGATGACCTACCAAAGAATAATATGAAAATATTAAAAACACAGGTGCTGCACCTTATCCATATCTTTCAAATCTTTCCAAATCACTCTTATCAACAGTGTTTTGCACCAGTTGAAAAGGTGGCAGAAGAAATGTACTTCTCTTCGGAATAACAGAGTTGGAAGGGACCTTGGAGGTCTTCTAGTCTAGCCTCCTGCTCAAGCAGGAGACCCTATAACATTTCAGACAAATGGCTGTCCACTCTCCTCTTAAAAACCTCCAGTGTTGGAGCACCCACAGCTACTGATTAATTGTCCTCCTTGTCCGGAAATGTCTCCTTAGTTCTAGGTTG